GAACATCGTTGGTTTAGGCCGAGCTTGTTTTTGAGACTGAACGGTCTATTCCTCCATGAACTATATTGTTGCTGTTTATTTATACATGAAGTATTGACACCGGCCTAAACACACATGAATTCCTTTTGTTTTTGAACTTACTACATAATCTTATAAAACTTGGTCAATTCACACAAAACTGTTAACGGAGTCAATTTTTCGTTCACGGGGTTAACTCTCCGTTAACGGAGTCCGATCTGATAATTTTTTTTAAATGATTAGTATTCATAAAACGAATTGGGAAAAAAAAATTAATCTTCCCCTTTGGCTTCCATATGCAATCTCTTCTTCTTCTTCAACGCTTTCAATGGCTTCCGTAAAAGTGGCATCAACGCAGCTCTTCTTCCTTTCGATGAATCGATGCTCGGATTCCGACTCTCTCTCGCTACGCTCCTTGGAGTACCCACCAAATCCATGTACAATTCCAAATCAACAACACCAACAATCTCCGTGAAAACTGGATCGAGCTTCGATTATAAACAATTCGGGGAAGGATTAATCAAAGTTTCCGCATCCGATCCACCGACTCTGATCAGATCTTCAATAGCTGATCTCAACCGATTCAATACCCAGAATGATTCGGTTTTCTCCATACTTTCGTCTAGAATCGCGAAATACACAAACGAATCACTGATTGCGAACGTGTATGTCTTCTTGCGTACTGTATGAGAGAACATTGAATGGTGTGGAGGCGTGTTCTCGATGGTGTGGAGGCGTGTTCTCGATGAGAGAGCAAGCCTTTTTAACATTTCCATATGTTGAAGTCGCACATCGTGCTCTGGATATAATCCTTAACACCACCTTCTTGTTCTGCATAAATGACTGAATAATATATATCATTGAGAAGCATTTTGCCCCTGAAAGATAAAGACAAAAGTGTGACTGATATGTTCTTTTGTGATTTTGCAGAATCTTGTAAATGGTTTTGTGTTCAAAGGTAAACCAATGATAATCCAGTTTAAGAGGGATTCTGTAGCAGCTAAGCCAAACGAGTGATGATATATACAACAGTGTTGTTTTCTTGGTAAAATTAAATATTTTAGAGGATTAGATGCAATTTTTTTTTTAAGATCATCAATGTACTCTTGACTCTAATACAAATATCGCTGCCTTATGGCTCTATATGTAAAAATTGTATTCTTGTTCGCTCGTCGCTCTTACACTATAATCAAGCATC